GAAGAAGAGGCAAAAAAATTATTCAGGACAAATAGAGGTCAACCCTGAAAACCCATTCAGCGCCTCTCCTTCCCACCTAACTGTTACGTGTTTGTTGTTTTTTTTTTACTTTTCCAATGTAATATTTATTTTCTTCATTTATGTTTTTGTTGAGTGACTCGTGTCTCGTCCATACACTACAGTATGCAGTATTCTTCGCCCAATACAGTTCACACACTCACACAACAAGAGGGAGTCCTGTCAATCCGCCATATGCCGTCTTCTGTCCCCGGATTCAACAGTTATCAGTGAGTTGCAGTATTTTTCTCATTGTAGCCAATCTTTCTTGTACAGTTTTATGCAACTTTCACATGGATGTTTATGACTTTATCTGCTGCCACAAAAATTTAGAAATTCTGTAGATAGAGATTACTGTGCAATGGAAAATAAAAGTGGAAAATGTATTTTTGTCGTAAAGCATCTTTTAAACAAAATGTATATTTCAAGTTCACGTGCAGACGTGAATATTTTACTGTTTTCACATGAAGTAAAACCATGTTTCTGTTTTGTAATATCAGGGATGACAACAAAAGAGTTTTGATAAGTGTAATGGTGTATGTACAAATACTGTACATATAGATTATTCTAAGGATGGGAGAGTTGCCATATCGCATCTGTACATTAGATGGCAGCAGACACGCACATTTGCTTCCTCGTGCATTTAGACTGAGCAAGCAAAACATGAAGTGAGGTAGAAAAAGTGATGTAATGCTAAAGGCCTGATGAGAAATATTCAGGCGATATAACAAGATAATATTGGATTTAGATTTATAGGTTAAGCAAATTCAATTTCTCAATTTAAAGTATAATATCAGTCATTGCATGAGCTTGCTTTGTGAGCTTATGGTCGGTGCTTAGTCTCGACTGCATCGCCTCTTTTCCCAGAGTAACACAATCCTGTATTGATCACACTAAGTGGCTTTCAGAAGCTGTCTCTGGTTTCTTTGAAGTCGTGACACAGGTGGCGCACTCGAGGGTCACCTTTTTACGGAAATGAGTTTTATTCTGCACTTGGCAGATTTTCCTCTGGTTTTCTACTGGAATTACAGACAACATGGAGGTAAATGTTGTGTCAGCCACGAGAAACAGTCATCATCTTACACCGAGAGGCTTTTTCTCCAGTGTTTTTCCACCTCACTGTCATTTCAATAGACAATAGACCCTGTACCTCAAGCATTAGACCCCTTGAATCAGAGAATTGTGCTAGTCTCAGTCAAGCTGCCAATTCAGGTCAGTGAATTCATCCCGTGCTGTGTTTGCAGGGATTTAACAGTGTGGATAATTTAATGCTGAAACCAGAGAGGCTTCCAGCTTGGACAACGGTTTCCTGTGGAAAGACGGATTTACAGATTGTAACCGTACATTGTCACTTAATGCTTCCTGGCATCATGTGTGACTCATGCCTGGTGACTTGTACCTGAAATTCAATGTGGAATAATCAGTCCAGACATGAAACTGCGCAGTGTATAGAAGTGTGGAATAGATTTTATTTTCTTAACCATTGGTTTAGAAGCAAATATATAAACCTCTTTTCTAATTAAAACAGTTTGCTGGCTAGAGCAACAAAGCAGATCCTTACTGGAAATCTAGTTTTGCTTTATGATTGATCAGTTTTCAAACAGATATACAATAGATCCATGAGATGATTGTCTGGAAAAAATTGTTGGACCATCTTTAATTGGCAACACAAATTAAGATGACGAATTATATGAAAACAATTGATAACTTAAACTCTATTGAATTAAAGTTTTAAGTTGATCCAATCATTGTCTCATTTCAGTGTGGCTGCATTGTTTTCTCACCCAGTCTGTAACATTGTCAATAATTGTAAAATTATTTTCTGAACATAAGGGTGGAAAATTATTTTATCTTGCCATTTGTACAGAAGACTCATTATACAAAATCCATGTGTAAAATCCTATTTAAAAGAAGAATAACCTCTAACCTATGAGAAAAACAATACCATCATGCTTTTTTACAGGGACTGGTTATGACTCGCCTCCTTTCTCTCTTCTCACATGATGAATAGGGGTTATGGGCCTGTGGCTCGAAAACATTCCTTCTTTACATAAACAAAACTATTAGATAAAGTGGTGTCATAATTTTATTAGGAGGAGAGCATGTGTTTTTCATTAAAGATAAGCTCCTTGGGCTACTAGAGGTTGAAGGGTAGAAGATGAGGGGAGAGTGGGAGATGGAGACGGAGGAAAGGAGCTTGTTGGAGGTGAGGGGGAAAGAAAACATCACATTGATTTGTTCAGTTTGACTGAGGACATGAAGAGAAGGTCACGAGGGAGAAATGTTTGTTGATGTATACTGTTTGAACCACTGACCTTGTTAGCGCACGCACAAACACACACAGATATAGGGTAGGCAATGCAGAGCGGAGCTTGCCACTCAGCAAATGACACGTAGAGGGTCACTGTTGCTGTGGCGACTGGAAACACATCTGACCCTGAGCCACGTCGGCAGCATGGCAGGAATCAGCGTGACGCCTCGGGGTAGACAGGAGGGGAGCGAGCCGGCAGCGTCAAATTTAACATGATTCAAACCATCTCTCGTAAATAGAAGATGTTTTATATTTTTTCACACTGTATCATATTTAAAGGTTATATATAACAATACTCTTTGCCACTAGATGTCGCACTAGCACGTCAGTCCAGAACAAATGCTTTGTCCATCACATGGATACAGTCCGTGGGTGAAATAGGCCCCGAAGCACTGAAGTTTAGGTGAGCCAAAGAAAACAACCTCATATGTGCCTGGACCAGCTACCAAAACAAAAACCAAAGTTCAGATCACAACACACACAGAGAGTGGAACTTTCTTTTTTTATATCCATTACAGAGAACATTGTTTTGACTGTGATGTGAGTATTTCAAATTTCATAAATGTACAACCTTTAAAAATAGAAATCATACAGAGAGTGAAAACAGGCAAAGACTGTTGTTTAATTAAACAAATTATATTACCTGCTGTTTATTGTTAACATGAGCTGAACCTAACATTTCAAATCCTTTGGTTTCCTTGGATTAAAGACCATAATCAAACCAGTTTAATGACATCATGATGCACTACATACTTCACTAAATATTCAGACAGCCTTACAATATGATGAACTCACTACGCAGTGCACTATGTAGGGACTAGTGAGCGATTTTGGACCCAGCCTTTGAAGGGTCCTGGCAGGAGAAGTCTGCATTAAGAACATCCATCATGGCTGCGTTCCATCAAGCTGAGCCAGGTTCAGGGCTGTGCTTGTAATCAGGCCACTTAATGGAACCCAGCCATGAGCGTCATCAGATGCACCTGCTGCTCCTGCTGTGATAAGGTCATTTAGCTGCTGTGTTTTCTCTGCAGTCGTTTATATAGAATCTATATCAGCTATGTATTTACTTCCTGTCAGGTGCTGTAGTTTGCTGTATGACGTTGGATTTACTCACATGTGGAGGATGTCTACACAACACTAAGGTAAGCTTTAGCTGTTTGGAGTGTTGCTGCAGAGTTCAGTGATTTCTGCGCAGTGCCAGACTGTGGTTACAGTCGTCTGGGTTGTATAATCAGTGCATATGATGTGTTTGTGTTTTGTTGGCTGCTAATTTCTGCTTTTGCTCTAAGTGATGGTTTTGGTGGAGAAGTGGCAGAAGTGTTATGGTTTGTGTTGTTGTTGTTTAATTTGTTTCCCTTTGGAGTGTTTCTGTCTAAATGTAGAGCGTCGGGCTGAACGATTTAATAAACATATATCATGATTAAAAAGAAATTCACATCCGTTGATATGGTGACATAATTTTTTAAGTTAAAAGACGGTTTGCTGCTGAATTAAGATTTTAAACAAGCAAATACGAGGCGATCACATTATTAAATGTCTCTGAAAACTGTTTTATGTCCAGTTGACCGAATAAATGCAGCATTTCTCCATCTGCCCCACTCAAACCAACTTGGTTTCTGCTGCACAAGCATCTTTCTCACTTGATCAAGAGGCAGAACTTGGATTCGTAGTCAAGGCTCATTTAAATTACATATGTTTGTTTGGTGTAACTGTGCCTTGTTGACACGTAACCCACACATAATAAGGGAAATGTGTTAGAAGGATCATTTGCTTCAATCTGTCGAGCTAAGAAACATCTGTTTTGGAAATGAGCGGAAGATCATCATGTGGTGTGTTTGGGCTTGTTTTTATGTTCTGCTGGGGACTTCAATTTAAATATACACCAAGGATTTGTTTCAAACATTGTTTCCCATGGTTAGAGACGTCTTTCTGAGAGATAAGACTTGGTTGTATAGGGTTGGGGGGGAGCATATATTTGTGATATTTGGAAGTTAAAGAACCAGGCAAGGCTTACTGTCAGTGTCCCCCACAGGGATAGTCAAATGTGTGTGGCTGGAGAGAGAAGGCATGGGTGTGGTTGAAAGTCTGACCATGTAATTTAAAAAATGTCTTAGTTCCTCGCTCCCTGGTGAAGAGTCTGAAGCATCTGTGATTGTTGGTCACAAGCTCTCCTGAGTGCATTTGCAAAAACAACATTGATCTGATTTGCCGATTTAAACCTTTGTGTTATGCAAAAATATCTCAAATTAAATATAATCCAAATAAGTGCTTACGTTTAGACCTTCGGCAGAGAGGGGAGAGGAATACACGCAAAATACAGTCGAGGAATTCCTACCAAAACAAAATGGTTGCCATCCAAACCCTCAGCCTGCGCCACCAATTTCAGTTTGTTGTAATATGTGGTTCTGAAATACCACAGCACTAATAAAGTGTGTGTGTGTGTGTGTACACGCACTCTGGTTCTGTGAGCCATGAAAGACTCTTTCCTGTCATGTCTTGCCTTGAATGTTACCGTCATGTTGTAGCTGGTATATTTTAACACTGCATAATCTGTTCTTTATCAAATCACAATCTCCCAATGACCATCCTCACATAGTTGCTGGAGACTTTATTCTCCATGATTGAGAGGCCTATTATTCCAGAAAAGGACTATTTGCGGTTCGATAACACAGTGGGCTTTAATAACGAAATGAATTCAGTGTGGTTTGATTTAGCCGTCAAATAAAGACGAGTGGTTTTCATGATTTGTCCTGTGCTTTTACTGTATTTTTGAAAAAATTTGTGTGTGCCACTTTGGGCTGATCTGTGCAAGGATTTGATTTGTGTCTGTAAAATTCTTGTCAAAATATTTATTCTGTTTGGGATGGTGGCTTAGCTGCTCCTGGAGAAGGACCGTTTCAATATGCGAGGCATGCCGTGTTTTTAGCATAAAAGGGATGAAACTTTAATGGCTGGTTTGAAAGTCGACGCTGTGCTGCAGCAGCGAGCACCAGATAATTTGACTGCATGGGATCGTTCTGCTGAGTTGTACCATCATTAACCCGTAACTGCATTCAAGAGAGTTGCGGCTTCTTTTTAATCATATATGTAATTAATTTTTACTGCCTGCTTTTAATTATTGCTTTAATGTTGTGTTATGACTGGATGTGGATTAATATGAAGAGGAACATTCTCTAAAGAGCACGGTATATACTTTTAAAATTGTCTCTGAGAAAGTGACGGACTCTCAGAGGTGCAGTAACAGCCACACTGCAACAACTGGCAACCACTGTCCAGGTTCTAAAGGATGTCCTTTCTCCTATAATCTAGATTTGATCATACCAGAAGTTCTAATCTGGTTGTTGCACCTTATCAATAATTGACAATCTCAGCAAGGTATCTGTTTATATGTCCCATATTATTCCGGTTAGTGTGTGGAAGGACATTGTTTGTTGCAGCGCAGCAGCTCTTACTGCACCACTGAGCCCCATTTGGTATAAAGAATGGTTAGATGTGTAGAGTAACAAATACCCAGGCTCCTTCTCAAATATTTGTTCAATATTCCCAGAAGACCCATAATCCTCAGGTTCAGTCAAAGGGTTCTTGTGGGAGTAATAAATACCCATGATCCTTATCTAGGCCACTCAGATCCCCTTGTCTCAGGAAGAGAGAGGTTATCATTCCTCTTTAGACACAGTGCTCATCTGTCCAGAATGTAAACGCCTGTAATTTCCCAACAGGGAACAATGGGGAGGTTTAAGAGCCTCCGCTTTGTGAGCTGCTGCAGCTCATCATTAATGACGATCAAATTCAAGAACATGCATGAAACCATTTATCCATTTTTTTTTTTTTACCATTTGCAGAATCTCTGCAAAAGAGACAAATTTCTGTGAAGTGCGAGGGATGTTTAATTAACTCACATGAGGTGTCCAGGTATGTCGGAAATGTTCTTGGGATAATTATGGCATGATGGGGAATGGTTAAAAATAGACACTAACCTGTTCTCCCTGAGGAGCCCTTTTATCAAAATGCCATAAAACCAATCACCAACAGGGAGGGAACCCGTTCATTGTCCTAATTTGTCCGCCCAAGGACACGCTGTTCCAAATCCGGAGGGTAACTTGCTGTTTGGGCAACCTGTGGTCTTTGAGGCCAGGGAGAGCTGTAATCAGCGCGGCCTCTGCTTTACTTTGCTTGTAGTGGAAGCAATAATTTTGCAGTTTGACTTGTTCCCGCACTGAGCCGTGGTGACACGCTCGTCTTTCCAGAGGTGTGGTCTTGAGGTAACAGCGAGACAACCAGGGAGCTGTCTCTATAATTTTCTTGACAAATTGCTTGACATGGATTTGTTGGAAGTGAACTTGTTCATTTTCCACTTCTGCTAGTTGCGTCAGTTTTTTAAAAGGAAAACAAGTTGAAAAACATTTGTCATTTTACCAAAACACTTCTCGATTTGAACCTAGTTTTTTTTTTTTCTCCAAACAGTAATGAAAGTGGTCTGGGGACACTAAGCAACCTCGGTGTACCCCTGTTTGATGGACGGGCTGATGCATTCATTAAAGTTTCAGGCTCTGCAGGATAAAAATTTGAGAGAGGCCGACTTTGATGCAGCAGTGACCTTCTGCTTTTATAAAACACAATACTGGCGACAAATTAAAGACATTAAATGACCTTCAGGACATCTGAGTAGTATGAGGCATTAGAAGAGCAAAACTGTGAGTGAGCAGCTGAACTAAACCTCCATGATGTTCTATCAGACCTCAGACAGGATGAGCGAACAGGATAGCTAAGTTATTGTGAGGTGTAAGTAGTTTACACCATTTATAATGTGTTATTAGTCCCTAAAGTGAGCATTAAAGATGGATATATATATACATTTACAGTTTCATGACTAATGGTAAACATCTGTTGATGAAGATCATGTAATATGATAAAAGTCGAAGTGACTGCTGATAAATGGGGATGGGCGTTTCAGCAAATTACTGAATTTAAATAGGAATTAATAAAGAACACAGGGTTTGTACGTTTCTTATTTATGCACAGTAACCTCACATGTTTCCAAGTGCCTGGAAGTAACAAGTAACATGACTACTAGCATTACTGCCACCCTCTGGCAATGGCAATAGTTTTACTTGATAACAGGTACTGGTAAAAAACGAAGCAGTTTTTAATGACAATTTGAAAAGTAGGTAACCATCCCTTCTACTAAATGGACCTGACTATAAAAACAATGTGAGCTATTCATTTCTTTAATGGCCTCAGACTGTTGCCCCTTTAATGTAGAATCATAAGTGTTTGTACACAGTGGGACATTACACTTCTCCTGTCTGCTTAGAATAGCACACAGTCGACCCAGAGCCCCTGTTAACACATCTGCCCAGTAAATTGCCTTGTTCTGCTGCTGCAGTTTGTGATTAATGAAATAAATAAACCCTAAAATGAACAAACTCAGCTGCTAAGCACAGTGCCTGCACAAACGGGAAAGCTGGTCTGGAGCATGTGAGCACTCCATAAAACACAAACCACCAAGTACACAGCTTAGCCGCGCTCCTTTTTATTCAATTATTCATCGCTGTGGAAAACAAATTACCAGTATGTGGTGCTGTGTGTTATCCTTAGACTGTGGACCCATGTGTCTCTCCGGCAGAGGAGATTCCCCCCGCTGGAATTCCAGAGATTCAGACGCCTCGTTTTGGAATTTTTAAATGACTGCCTGGCAGCCACCGGTGTTTCCACGGCAACCGTGTGATTGGGAAAGGCAATTTGAATGGTGGCTGTCGGCGAGGCAAATCGAGCGCTGCCACGGGGATACATTTTACCCGGCGAGAGTTTACGTTAAATGTGGGTCAATCATAAGCTTCTATTAAGTCTTCACCCTGGTGAGGCATATTAATTTGCATTTTGCTTCACTGGTGTTAATTTGCATTTGGCTTCACTTGTATTCCATTAAGGGTGGTGGGCTGGTTTCTGGTGTGTGTGATGACTGTGTGACAGTGGGAAGCAGACGGGGTGGGGGGGGGGAATGCAGAACTTCCAGTGCTTGCAGACTAATGGAGGCAGATGTCATCCTGTACTTTGCTTGGCTTTTGATCACTGTTTTTCTGATCAGGCAGCTCATTTGTTTAATGTGACATGTGCAGGGAACGAGCAGCGCTGAGGGATA